AGCCCCACGTCCTCCGGCTCCTCCACCATGGTGTCCGTCACGATGGGTAAGGGCCATTTCCATCCTCGCTGTCCGTCCCAGCCCCTGCCACTCAAAATTGGCCTCAATTGCTCTCTCTGAAACCCCTGGAACTGCATTTTTCCATCAGGGAGACCATCCCCGCCCCCTCCCCGCTGCCATCCCAGGAGTCATTTTCCTCCCAGTCCTCTTGACCTCACCACAACAGCTGCGAATGCCCGGAATGAGCCTCTTGGCTGGCATCTACTGAAACCCAGGCGGCCGCCCCGCCCCTTTTTTCCACATCCACCTCATTTTTCCTTTTCCATGGCTTTCTTTTCTTGTTTAGCAACATCTGAATGGATTCAGTTTTTCAAAGAAGCTGGGATCCCCCCGGGCCCCGCCGTCAACTACGCTGTCATGTTTGTGGATAACAGGTGAGGTCAGCGACGAGGTGACCTACTCCTGAATTAGTAGGTGGTCCTACTCCGTAATTAGCTACACTCGTTATTTGTCTGCGCTGAGCCGCTTTCTCGCGATCAGTGCTGTTTCTATGAGAGCAGTGGTATCTGAACCCAGGGTGAGGATATCGCAGTCCACCTTGCTCAAGGCTTAATTAATCAGACCTTATAATGAGGGGAGACCTCCTTAAGCCGGGTCTCTGCTCACCTCAGGATTCAGAAGAACATGCTGATGGACCTGAACAAGGAGATCATGAACGAGTTGGGCATCACGGTGGTGGGAGACATCATCGCCATCCTCAAACACGCCAAAGTCGTCTACAGGCAGGTGCGGTGACGCCAGCACGGGTGAAGCCGGTGAAACTCAGCTCATTTAGCAGAGAAGTTTTGCGTCCAGGCTCCTCGTCCAGCTCTGAAAACCTTTCCCCTACATTTCTTTTCCTGCAGGAGATGTGCAAGGCGGCCACCGAATCGCTCTGCCCCAGTTCCCACAGCGTCCAAGCCGAGCTGCGCCGCAACACCAGCAGCGGTGAGCACGGGCTGGAGGTCTCTGGGAGATCGAATCCCCTCGGCTGATTGACGAGGCGAATTCATGACAATCTTGAAAACAAAGGGCTCAGCTGATGGCTGCCTCCCCCACCGTCCCAGGGAAGGACGACTCTTTAATTTAGCTGTCGAGATGGACGCTCGCTGTGCTCGCTTGGTGTTTAAAGCATCTCCTTCCCCTTCCAGCCGCCAGCCGGATGATCGCCAACAGCCTGAGCAGGGACTCGCCCCCTGCCACTCCGCTCCGGCAGCGGCCCCACGCCTCCAAAATCTCCGTCACCGTCTCCAACAAAGTGGCCGCCACCAAGGCAGGTAGGGAGGGCAATGGATCCCGGGGGAAATGCCGCCAAAAGTGGCTCTTTCCCCTTTTTTTTTTTTT